TTGTTTTACCTGCAGAGACCATATTAGAACCAAAGTGGGATCGATTGGATTGTTTCTACTTTACTCTTTCCCTTAAGAAAAGCTGGATGTGAAACATACGTCATTTGTCATCGACAGCCAAGGCAATTTAAGTTCTCTTGTGATTACTGAATACTTCCCGATGTAAAATGTATGAGCCATTGATTTGCAAGTGGCCGATTTCTATAGTTCTTATTTATTTAAATGACAACAAAATAACAGGTTTTTGAAAACTTGATGGTTGAATGTAAGCTCAGAAATATTTCTTTCTCTGTTGATTTTTCTATAAAATTGTACTCAATAAAAACCACGTTGTGTATGGCTTCACGATTTATAGTTGGGCTGCTGGCAACAAAAACAACGTATTCATAAATAATAATACACATGAAGGATGATGGTGACGCTGTTGGCCAGCAGGTAAACACTTTGCCGTCCCTGCAAGGACTTAGTGTATTTTTGGCTTTCTTTTGGCTTGTATGTGTGAATGTGGCCGTCATTACTCTACGTAATTACCGAGATGACAGGTCCAAGGTCCTTATGCAGCATGAGTAATGTTTTCGGGATAATGCAGCCAACATTGCCCATAAGCCCCAGAGAGCCATGATGACTCTTATCAGAGAACTCATTCCTGCCTCCTCACCTTTAAACAGTTCCCGTTATGTCCATTACCCTTTTCCCTTCCCGGAGACACGGCACAAGGGTCTTTGTTTACATAGCAGGTATTTCCCAGAGAGGCTGCAAAGGATTTCACTTAACAGATGCTGCCAGATCAATGAGTACTGTTCAGCTCTCAGCAGAAGGAAAGAGTGGATCAGTCTAGTAATGAACCAAGAGTCTTTCAGCTAATTGTTCAAGTTTTATGGCCCACAACTTTACCGTTTTGGTTCAGTTTCACCATTCTCATCAGCAACTGCATTCGGCAAAACAACTCTAATAAACGCACTGTACTCTGGCTGCTTAGACCCACTCAAAATGCAAGGACGGGTAGAATCTTGTGAACGCATTGGAGCATTTAGCAGGTAAAGAGATAATCCCCTCAGGAGTTGGTGGTAACGACTCCACTAGAACGCTGCGTTTCTTTATATTGTCTAGATGTGCAACTGTTTGCTAAAACCAAAACTACTCTATCATGCATTGTATGTCAAGCAACTGCAATCTCTAGTAAACATTTGTTGTAGTCATCTATGAAGGACTGAGTAAGTCATAACAAATGTTTGGAAATATGGCAAAAGCCAACCGTATACTTCAAAAAAATAACAGTACCAGTGAATACAATTATCCAGGAGCTGCTGCTCGAAGTTTCTCCAAAAAGAAAAAAATGCAAGCTGAGGGGACAGCAAGCAGAAAAGCACTAACTTAAAGTAGGAACAACTCCTAAATGTACAGTATGTCTGTTATTAAGCTCTTGCCGAATTAGGTAAAACAATGGAAATTGAGCCTATCCCACTGATGGAAGCCCTTGTATTTTTATGAACTGGGTCTCTGACAACATTCTCAAGAAAATGATTCACTCTTTGGACCTCTGGGAAGTGAGATCTCCCGTTGCAATTACCTCTTAACGCGGAGAGAACTAAACGGAGCTCTTCTAGATTATAATTGAAACACCTGCTGTAAATCCTGTTGTTGCTCCCATGCAGGGCTTTAACTTCTCTTTTTGCTGCAGTAATGAAAAAGTGTACTTTAGGGAGAACTGTGACATCACTGTAACCATAAATCACACCAATCAGAGTGATCACAGAGCTACAAACTTGAATCTTTTACATCCAGAGGGCAGGAATCTCAGCGTAATATAAAGTTAATATTTAGCATGTATAGGCCTCATTCCCAATTATGTATAAATCTCACAAATGCTCATTTGACTGCACTTAGTTGCCTGGTCATTTGAATGATAGTTAAGTATTATACGTGTTGATCTTGCCACAATCAAAAGCTTAGTGAATTAATCTAAGACATACTGTAATCGCACAGTTTAACACACATGATTATTACTGACACAACACCAGCCGACCCTGTGATCCACCGCTCTAAATGCTACTGCCTTGTTACAGCATGTATGTGGATTCTTTTACAAATATAGACCATAAGGATGCGTCATGCTCCACCCCAGCACATAACCCCGGGCTGCTAATGTTTGTGCTATTTACTGTAAAGGCTCCCACTGCATGGGACCAAACGTTTCATAACCAATTTCATTTTACCAATCGCTGTTTATGTTCTAAATTGTGATAAACATGATTACTGAGGAAGATGTATGAGAGATAAATGAGAACTCGTTAAACCTAATTTCAAACCGTCATTCTGTTTTCTGTAGCAGCCTGAAAAACAGGCTTTTCCTTTTAATATAACACACTAGAGTTCAAACCAAGGCTACTCTACTACAGAGAGAGCCTTTGCAGGAAAAATCCATACTGGAACGGACCATTTTTTCTTAGCGAAAGAATCAATAAAATAATGTATAATTCAGTATTGTGAGTCAAGTCGTTGGTTTATTTAGTAAGTAGACGTGTAATAAGATTTGTGTAGGGAACCTGAACATCCCGTTGGTGTTCATTTTACATCAGGGCGGCTGTGGCTCAGTGGGGTAGTGCATCTTTGAGCACTTGGAAAAGTGCAATAAAAATCTAAACTATTACATATCTATTCAAACAGCTAGCAGATAGTTTAAAGCTGAATAGAAATATTTAAGACACACATGTGTTGAGTGTGTTGATAGAATGTGGAGCTATACAGCAGCCAGATAAACACATTTATGGCTGTCTGTATGCCAGTGTCTGTATATTTTGTTGGGAGGAAAACAATTACTGTATGAAGACAGAAAGCAGTATAGCTGAGTCAAGGGCTCAGACTTTACCATCATCACAATCTGCAGATTAAAGTTGTTCCCACTCATGGGTTCAGATCTCAGCTATTAAGATATTGAATTGCTGCTGCTCATGTCTCACAGATGCCCAATAGTGATCCTCTAAACCTCTCCACAAACTGTCACACGCAAATTGAAACCGGCCTCTCTCTCTCACGCTCTCCGAGCATCAGGGCTGCTCCTCAGGAGGACGGCGGAGCAGAAGACTCGACTAAAGCCTCATATCCACTCATTTTCCAGCTGAAGATGAGAAGATGAAGGGATTTGTTAAACTCATAGAAATGTTGTTGAAAGTGTGATAATGTCCTCACCTTGTCTTGCCCGGCAAACAGGAATGAAATGAAAGTGGAGGATTTTTGATAACGCCTCAGCCACAGAGCTGATACCTGAAGGATAATGGATTCCATCTTACTGTGAACCACAGTGGCAAAAGCTATCAAAGAACAAATCCGAGGCTCAAGGGAAAACAAATCTTCCTGAAAACCTTCTGACCTGTGTTTGAGAGAGCAAAGTTGGCTGCTAGCCGTTCATTACATATCCAGATTAAAGCAGCTTTACTATTGGCGGAGGAAGGAAACGATCAAGCTGGTCTAGTGCTTCTTTGGCAATAAAGCCGTTACATGAAATGGGATCTCTGGCAGCACCACAGAATACCAAACAAGTTCCCTTTCTATAACGGCTCAGAGGGACTCTATTCCTCAGATGTATAACACCACAAAAAAGACTGCGAGGGGTGCTTCACTGAAGGGGGAGCAGTTCAACACAAAGAAATAAATGAGGAAATTATAGAAGACAATTCTGCTCCAAAAATGTTGTTTTATTACTTTTTTTTTAAGTAACATTTTAAAGTACGATTATTGTAGACACCAATCTGTGGAACAAGGTGTTCTGGATGTTTGAAAAGATTGCACTGCAGCATTTCTACTGGTTTAAATTTATTATTAAGCACAGTCTGATTTCTTTCACCTCTCATATGTTAAATTATCTGCACTGCAAATTGCTCAGAAGGAAAAAGAGATTAAATATAAGGATTAAGTTGCCATGATAAAACAAAAAGCAGAACAAAATGGAACACAGGAGAATGGGACTTAAGTTAAAGATAAACACAAATCATATCAGCAAAGGCACAGCTATGCTTTACAGTAATCCCTTTCCTTGTTATGTCCCATGAGTAAATGTAGGCATTGTAACCCTGATTGAGATGAGAGATTTTTGTGAAAATGGGAGCGAGTGAGTGAGTGAGTGAGTGAGTGAGTGAGTGAATGTCCTTTCTATGCACAAGCTATGCACTGATCAGATTTTAAGGGAACAAAAATGTTAACACCTTTGAACACGAAGACATCTGCATAATAATGGAGCAAACTGGCAAGGACGGGGGTCCTAATTGGTGGAACTGCCGGGGGGGCGGTCCTGCTTGCACATACAAATGACCAAGAATATTTGTTTGGAATGTACAACCCAGAAACATACATGTTACCATTTCATTCCTCCTCAAATGTGTATTTATATGAATGAAATATTCCTTCTCTGTTGCAATTGAATTCCATGCACACACACCTGACAGTGAAATGTGGATAATTATATACGCTGCTGTGCTGATGTGATGTTTGTTTGGCATGGTTTCAGAAAATGTGACTTAAAATATTGTTCCAAGTCTTCAATGTGCATGGACAACTGGCATAGGCGCATGGATATAGAAAATTACGACCATAATGGCCATGTCTTAGCTTGAAATGCTTCAACAACAGGAACCTAGAAGACACTGACGTACATTACATTGCATTTAGCTGACGCTTTTATCCAAAGCGACTTACAATAAGTACATTCGACCAGGAAGACACAACCTTGAAGAAAACAGAATCATATAAGTACATCAGGTTTCATAGAGCCAAACATTTCAAGTGCTACTCAACTGGCTTTACGTACCACAATCTTTGCATGTACTCTTGTAATCTGAAAATCAAATAAAGTATTATTATATTTTATGGCAACCACCATAACATAGCCTATATGCGCCTATATGTTTTAGTCATTAACTGATGTAAATCAAGCAGTACTTAAGATTACAATGTGCACAAACTTCAAACTTGGTAAAAAATAAAATAAAATGCTGATTACTTACCACCAGTAAGAAGAGGTTACCCTGCTGCCAGCAATGTCAATGTGTTTGTTCCCAGGACACCTGTGATTAACAGACATGGTTAGGTTAATCTGCAGTAGCATGCCAACTCCAAGTGCAATATAATTTGGGCTAGAACCTATTATTTTAAGTGCTAGGCTAAATTACGGTAATCCAATGCTGAATGTGAATTATGTTCAAGATTTTTTTTTTAAATGTTGAAGTTAAATGCATCAATCTGGTGCACTTTGAGAGCAAAATTAGGAACTAAATCTGTGTGTGGATACATTTCTGAAAAATACCCATGTGAAACAGTACTGTAAAACAGATGTACTTTTTCATTATGTACCTTACCAAGTTGTTTGTTGTTCTTTCCTGGCTGCTAGTTCAGTGAATTGTGGTCGCACTACACCCCTGCATTCCAGTAGTTATTGCTCCACTAGCCCTTACATAAATCTAGTGTTGTATTATGATTTCTAATTGATATGACGTGCTGGCACTATGACATCTTTTGGTTTGGATCAAAAATGGAAATATGGTGTTTTGGAGTGCATGGCAGCAAGGCGCCGTGCACAGGATAAGCCAAGAAGCTAGCTAGCTAGCCATGAAACATATCAAAATCAATTAACATCAATTAAGCTGACTTCACGGGTCAATATTCACGGTAGGTGTATGATATTACCTCATACCAACAATGTTTCATATTTATAGACCTTGTCAATACATAATCTAGATAGGACTACTTACCACATGCATGGCTATCGTCGTCTCCCTCGTGTGTGCTACGGTCTTCCTCCGTGGTGTGCCTCGCGATAGATTACGACGGCATACGTCTCAAACTAGCAGGTGTCATTAAACCAATGCATTACATTCACGTCAGGTCAAACTAAGTGAATCTTGCTCATTTAAAAGCCATGCTTTTTAGCTGGTATAATTAAATCCAATTAATTTCCCCCCCTTGCATCAACGTAAACAAATCATGTTAATTTAAAATCACATAGACATGTTGGTTCTATTAGATGTAGGTATGTTCAGTTCAAAACATATATATTTGTTATCAAACAAACTCAAAATAGATAGACTGGAGTAACTCAGACCTATAATCATTTTTTTTTTGTAAAATCCGTGGTCCATTAGTCTCAATAATTACAGACACCCAGTGGCGAGCCGTCAGGACCCTATAGGCCCTCTCTGAGGGCCTAAGATATTCTACAAAAATTGTCATATTTTTCATTAGTTTTACCAAAACAGCGTAAACTCGCCTTCAAAATAAAAGCATGCCAAATTACACTAAAGAGCAACTTGCAGGTTAGAGACACCAGAGAATAAATGTGTAGGCAAATGATGTATACACTAGATTTTCAAAAAAATATACATAAATATACACTACAGTGACATCTGGTGTCGTTTTTGTAAGACATTTTTACTTCCGCATAAAAAAAGACCACCCGCGTGTGATGTCACAAGGGGGAGAGCTGCCGGTCTAACTTATGAATAATAGAAGACAGGCCATTTGTCCGTACCCTATAACAGTGGTTCCCAAACGGTGTGCCGCGGCACACTGGTGTGCCGTGAGGCAAGTCCGGGTGTGCCGTGGGATTTTGTGACAACCATACATTATTATTGCAATATACAACTACACAAAAATTATTATTTTTTAATTTACTATATCAGTACTTTGTAGGTTTATATGTACGTAATCTGCGCGATTTGCGCGTCCACATCTCCACGTGCAGTGCTGCATAAACATGGCTGAGTTAGCGATAACTTTCGAGGGGTGGAGGTATGCCCATTACTTTGAGTTCGTCCGAAGAATAGACAGGAATGTGACGGTGAGGTGCAAACTGTGTCCAGGCCAGAAGCTGTTATCCACTGCTGGAAACACCACACCTCAACAAGCACCTGCAAAGAACACATGCTAAGGTGAAGCTAACGCACACGCTATTTGTTGTTTGTTTATATCATGCAGTCTGTTCTTCTTCTCTGTTTTCCGGTTGTTGCCTGTTTTGAATGACAAATACACACTACCGCCGCCTGCTGGTAAGGAAAGTGATTGCCACTCACGCATGCGCAGTTCGTACGTGTTCGACGAGTAAGGTAACGAGTAAAGTAACAAGTTACTTTATGTAGATAGTAACGAAGTAGTGTAATATATTACTTTTTTTTAAAAAAGTAATATGTAATATATTACATTTTTTTAGTAACAACCCCATCTCTGGAGGTGGCGTTCTCTACTCTAATTTACATGAAGAACAACAGGAGGTCACGGCTCTCTGTTGAACAGGACTTGCGAGTGGCCCTCTCCTCAGCGCCCCGACACGCACATGTATCTCACTAATTTGTAAGTCGGCAAAAATATTTACAATAGCACATGTTTCAATGCTGATTGCTGAAATGTTACATTTATAATTTGTAGTTCAGGACCATGGACAATGCAGCTTCCTTGCATTGACAGTTATCTGTGCTGAATTTCTGCTGAGTTTCCTTTGCCTCATTTTTAATGTTGTGACCTGTCTGGTTTAAATGAGTGTGTTGCTGCTTTGATGAAACCTAATTTGATAAAGTTTCAAAATAATTTCTGAAATATTTCGTTAATAAATATTTCATGAGTAATATAGTTGTCTTTGTCACATTTTATTTGGCATTAGTAAATAATTATGCACATTTACAGATATTTTACATGATATGAGTGATAACACGTGCTATAAGGGCTATTTTGCACAATAGGTGTGCCTTGAGATTTTTACTTGTCCTTTGGTGTGCCTTGGGCACAAAAAGTTTGGGAACCACTGCCCTATAACATACAGCAGGAGAGCTATAAACTGGACTGTTCACATTGATAACTGTGAGTAACAGAGTGCTGTGAATCAATAGATTCCTGTTGTACAACAGTGGCATCGATCTTCCTTCAATACAGCAGCAGGAGAGTCTTTCGAGGGAGTCAACAGGAGAGCTCATTAATCTGTTAGGTAAACAGTGATTCGTCTTTCTAATATAAACTATTTTTGTATCCTCCAACGATGGCAAAACACAGAGATGATGGCCTTAGGCCACCCATAAATAGACTTCTTAGAACATTAAGGCTCCAACAGCCAAATGCTCATACTACACAACAATAGCTTGGCACTAAGGAAGGTCAGGTAAACCTAAAGTATTAAAAAAGAAGTATTCTCACAAGTGAAGGTTACATTTCGATGCATGAAATCACTACATTATAGTTTTTTGTTCTTTAATATAAAAACAGATTTAACTGATTTGTAAACGAGGCTATAGTTGATAAGTGAAGACAAAGAGATGTGGAAAAAGAAGAAAACCGCAGTGTGCACTTTGTTATGATTGTTGATGACATTGCTGTATATAAAATATCTGTTCGATTGGGCACATCCCTACGGTGGCCAACAGGTGCAAACGCACTACAACGGCCAAAAAACATTTCCTTTGCGAGAGACACGCTGCACTTTCAACGTTATAATCCCCGAACGTCAACAAGCATGCCAGTCCCAGCTGGGTGCATCACTTTTTAGTGTTCTCGTTTCCGTTGTGTGCCTTTTATTTTATTTTATTCACAGTGTTTTGTATTTGCGGATTTTTTTTTTTAATTCGCAGCTCTTTCTGTAAATACTCTGCACGTTTCTTCAGGTTGGGGAATTTATTCTCATTTGCATGTGTTTGGGTACATTTTTGTATAATATTTGCATGGTTTTTGAACATACAGCTGATGGAAACGTTTTGGGCCATTTGCATCTGTAAACCAGCTAATGTGAGTAATGTTTAAATGTCAGAGCATGGTTAGGGGTAGTGCTGCGTACCGGTAAGCCGAACCGGTACTGGACTTGTAAAAAGTTTCGGTTCAAGTCCGGTTAAAACCGGAACGTCGGGAACCGGTACTTGGACTCTCAAAAAAAACTAGCTCTTACGTATATTCTGGTGTCTGTGGTTATTTAAACATTCCCTGATAAACGTTATTCAGCGTCAATAAATGAGTGCTAATCCCAGTGTGCTCAGTGTACAACATCACATGTAATTTCACCTTCGATTCACGGGTTGAAAACGTAGCATTTCGCCACATGCTAATGCTAACCGAAAGTGAAGAATTTTCTGAATAAAAGTATTAAGTTAATAGTGTGAACTTCCGTTTTTTTCAGAATAAAACTGATTTAAATTAAATAGTGTATTTAATTCAAAATTACGCCATATCAACATTGATTTTAATTTCTAACAGTATGTATGTACATCACTATGTATGTAGTATGTACTGTATAATGTACACATGTAAAGTTGTAGAAAATACATGGTGTACAGACAGTACAGTACACTGACTGTACAGTCACTACAATGTAGTCTATACTGTATAGTAGGTGTGTAACAGTGTAATGCATATAGTCTACTCTCCACTCTACCTTTCAGCAACGTTTTAGGGATTTAGGCTCAGTCAGCTCAGGGACTGTTTGGTTACTTTAGTTTGGTAAATTAAATAAATGTTTGAACTTTGTAGTAGTTCACTGTAGTTGCTGTCATAAGTCATTTGTAGACTAAGTGGCAAAAAGTGTTTTTTTTACATTTGTATACTTTGTAGAGAAATGTAGACACAAGTTGGAAGGGAGCACAATCAACCTGATGAGTTTGAATTGGAGTTGATTATGAGTTAATTTTCAATTGATAATTAGCTCACAATAAGTTCACTTTAGTTACTCACACAACTTGACACAAGCCATGGGCTCAGGTCCGGACTTATAAGTGAACCTCTGGACTTGAGTCCGGACCTGAACCTGAATGTGAGTCCAGGTACGCAGCACTAGTTAGGGGGCAATGTCCTCCAACAGCTTTCAAAAGGGAAATGTATTGACAGCAGCGTCTTTGAGACTGTGAGACATGTGTTTGTTTATTTGATCACTGCACACTTTAAAGAATAAATATAAATAACAGCTTTGATTAAATTAAATGTATTATTTCTCTAAGAGTTACAGGCAATTATGATACTTTAAATAAAAGGAACAAGTGTTAGCAATTATTGGCCGGGTGTCATAACATATTTATATTTCATCGGATAATGTTACATAACAAAGCTTGACTGGAGGCTCCACTTTACAGAACAAAAGTGTATAAGTGTGTAAAGAGTCCCGAAGTTGAATAATGCCTGATCAAGAGGAACTGTACACTGAAAGTTGTTAGGATTACTCAAAACACATTATCCCCTTAAATTAAAGACGTGTCAATAGAGGAGCAACAGCGTATCTGCTGCAACATTAACAAAAGCTTTTATTTAAGCAAAAAGGTTTGAATTTGATTAATTAAATCCAAATTGTGCTTCTTTTTGTTTGGTTCACCCAATAAGTGCAACATAATAAGTGTGATACGTGTAAAGATACGTGTTGGTAGTTACAAACTCCTCCATTGGCATCCTTTTTTTATAAATGTAAATTAATATAAATCTTCTGATATTTGGCTATCATTATTCTGTTGTGTTGACCAGAGATTACATATATCAAAGTCTTAACATCTTTAGGTTTTGTGTCAAAAGGTGGTTCTCTTAATAATTTACTATTGATAAAACGACTTCAGCATATAAAAAGGTAAACAAGTAATAGATCATAACCTTGAACTAAGGAGAGAGTAAATGGCTATGGTGCTGTACAATGTCTGTCACATTCACACAAGAACAGGAGAGCATGTTTGGACATTCAGTAAAAGGTGATGGAGCGGAAACCCAGTGTGCAGTAAGGTCATGTTAGTGGCTGCACCCTGCTGGGCCTCCAGGACACCGAAGACCAGAGGTTGGACCTCTGACTGTGCTGGTAGCCGACAGGGTGCAGACAGACACACTATTATTTATTTTCTGATGTGACAAACCAGCAGCCAGGAAATATCCGCTGTAGCCTGCATGCTGTATGAAGGGATGAAACATATCCATGTCATCATTTCACATCCCTCTACTGAAAGTCTGACATAATAATAATCAAATTATACGCATGACAGTCGATCACTTAAAACTGTTCACACAGGAGCCCCCAAGCACTACAACATCCTGCCACCAGCTGTCATGTGCCTTGCTCAGAGACACTACAATCTGATGGCAAATTCTCCATCACATTTCCCTGCTCTGGTTCCTCCAAAGAAAGGATTCAAACCAGAAGCACTCCAACCAAAAGCTTATCCCTTCAACCACCAGATAGCCTCTTTCATTGGATATGGTGATACCTCACATGTAGGAAGAAGAATATAAAGAAGAATGCTCTGTGATGTATTTATAAGATTATTTGCAATGATCCGAGTTTTGGACACACTGCTGCCATAGAGAACTACTGCAGTAAAATACAGCAAAGAAGAAAATACTAATTGGTGCTTTAATCAGCATTGTCTCTGCATGTTAAAGCAATTAAAATCAAAGCATGTTCCTATATTTAATACATTATGTGTGGATTGTTAATTGGAAATGGAGATTAAGCATTTCCTAGCACAGGCTGATCACACATCAAATGGTTAATTAGGTTGCTGTAGTTAAAGTAGTCTTATTACCCAAAGTCATAAATAACATTCCTTTGCAAGCAATTTGCATAATTGTTTTGATAAATGTACTGTTGACGCAGTTTTCTCTTATCTCCTTTGTCAGGTGCACATGCTCACCCAAATGAGATGTATCGATTATATATTTCAATAAAAAAATCAACACTTGTCCAGTTGTGCGATTGCTTTCGACCACGCGGAACATCGCGAGATTGCTCTCACAGGGCAAACACAATTATGACTAAATGATTCCTTTAGAAAGTTATTTTCTCTTACCTTTTTCGGAGAATTATGAGAGGAGCTCGTTCTGGACGCGCTTCCTTGATGGTGCTCTGGATGATAAACGCCACAAATGGTACGGGAGGCGTTTTAATTTAGAAAAAGCTGAAGGGAGGGAATGTCTAATTGTCGCATTGGTGGAATAGCGTTTTTTATTTAGGTTGTTGGTTTGTTTAAAAGCGGATGTGTCCCTGTTCAGCAGCCTGCTGGAGGCAGCACAGAGGAGATGTGAGTTCAGGCAGATCCTCCGCACATATCTGCCCGCATCTGAAGCTCTAATCTCTCCTTCCCTTTCTTTTAAATCGAACATGCTGACAGTGTCATGTGACCATTCCCCACCGTCCAATGCGCTTCCTACAACTCCTCCATCCACACACCCCAAATAATGCTGCAGCTTTACTATGCTGCTTTTAACCGCTGGAGAAAAACACACACCGTGCGTAAAACTGGCTACTGTGAATGCAATGCAAGCAATACGTTTGGAATACATATGATAAATGAACTACAAAAGGTGGTATGAAGTGTAGTTTCGATCCACCTGCTGCAAAGATATAGGGGGCAGTGTTTCACCTATGTTACTGGGGCAATACAATCTAATGGTCAGAATGATCAGGGGCCTCATTTATAAAGGGATATACGCTCAAAAGATGGCGTACGCCAGTTTCTACGCAATGTTTGCGATTTATAAAATACTAACTTGACGGGAAAATGTGCGGTCCTCCACGCAAACTCTAACCCATGCGTACGCACTAAGCACAAAAACGGGAGAGACGAGAAACTGCGACACCGTTGGCATGTGGAAATAATACCATAAATAAAATGTTACCTCTCATTTGTCATTTATCATATATGAAGAATTCATTTTCAAACATTCATTAAAGCCAATCTTAAAATGATTAAACAAACGCCTGTTTGCGACTCCTCAGTGCACACAAAAACGTAACTTGGATAAATAAATAAATACGGATATGTTATTGAAAACCACCTCGAATATGTTGTGTTAATGTTATGAAATGTTTTCTCATAAATGATGCGGCAAGCAGGAGGACAGAATTACGTCTAAACTGACGCCGTTTTGCATTTATATAGGTTGTAGATACGAGCATGGTTTTATATACTATCATGTTTAATCGTGTTTTATGCCGTTTGCCAAGACTTGATAAGTCGCTCGTAAAACACAGGATGTATGGAAACTAAGAACACCATATGTGGTAAATTGTACAGCTGATATAACACAACACATTAGTTGTATTTCCTTTAACTGGTGGATAAAGGATCTGATCGACAACTGGAACACAAACCACCAAATACAAAAACATAATTCAGATCCAGTCGTCATGACTCCACTCCGGAGGGATTCCCCGATCATTTCTTACAGTTTCTCATCAAGGGGTTGTCTCCTGTCCCCGGTACAAACACACTGCCTGAGGAAGGCTATGTGTATTGTTTTTGTCATTAACCTTTTTCGGGCCATTTATTTATTTATTTTGGTGACGATCCGACCTCCATGCTGCTACTCTGTTCAAACTGCATCCACCAAACAATATGATTTATCTCGACCTCCCCAAAATAACCAAAATCTGACACGGTGTGAGATGTCTTTTTTTAGCTGTTCTGTCGTCATTTCCTGCGATCTTCTTCATAAAGTCAGTCAGAATGAATGAATGAATGGGCGTTTCTTTGACTATTTATAGGCAAATATGGGCGTTACGTGAAGCCCGCAAAAGCTGCACCGCATTTCGAGTCGGTTGTGATTTATAAAGGGAAACCGGTGTAGGACGTGCTGTACGCACTTTCCTCGCCGGTGCGCAATGTTTGGTGAATCGGAAAATGTCGGAACATTTCTGTACCTATTTTTTGGATTTCTACTACGTAAGCAACCTTCCCACGTGAATCCTACGCACGGCGTTATAAATGAGGCCCCAGGTATTATTAAAACCAACAATAGCTTGGTAGTTGTTTGGTATATTCATTGTGTTGAACATTTTGGACTGTTCTAATATATTCTTTAAACCTTTTATTGTATACTGAATCTATAGTTATATACATACATATATTTTGTTCATATATTTAATGTAGGCCATATAGTTTCCACTCCTGTCTAATCTGGCCTGCCTGTCCGTTCATTTCACACAGCAGTGGAAACTCTGAGAGCTAATTATATTATAGATTATATTTCATAATCTCCACATGGAGCTAAACCATGTGTGTGTTGACTGTGGCACTGAGGGATGTATGGTCCATGTATGTTTATGGTTTGGTAGTTTGTATTGGCTTGCGTCCAATGTGATAAGAGATGAGGGAATGACTTGTGTTTTTACTTTTGCTGACATAGAGGGAAGTGTGTCACTGCGGGGTGATAGTGAGCTGTGACCTTTCTCATGCCAGAGTTTTTATCGTGTTACGAAGTTTAAGTTATCTGCTAACTGCTAACGGATGATCGGTCGATCTGCCGCAGTAGCTGCGCACTTCCAATCCCAGCAAACCAGAGTTTGTACAGAGTTGGTTAACTAGTGGTTTTTTAAATGTATTTAGGTGTGACGGAGCTGGGGATACTTTTTTAGAGATGTGTCTGTTGTCTGTGTTGTTTAAGAATGTGTGTCATAATGGATCCCATGTCTTATATCTGCAAACCAAATCTACGTAGGGGTACCAATATATTACTTAACCTGAAACTGAACAACCCTCCAGCTGATGGTCAGCATGAGGCTAGGGTGCAAGTTGTTTACTTGTTTCTGCCGCTTGAGATGAATTCAAACCAAAATACCAAAACTTGCAGCAATCATGGAATAAACATTGATGGGCTGGGACTACTAAATGAACCTGCTAATTGTAATAACCATCCCACATACCACAATATACTGTATAGACAACAGTCAACACTGGACCCTCTTCACATACGGTTGATAATGTTTCTGACATGTCTTATACATTGTAACTGTAAAGCCAAGTGCGCATTTTAACACAATTGACAATACACTTGTGTATTAAAACAGCTGATCCAAACTTAAATTCATTCACATTCATTCAAGGTATTTTTCACACACTTGTTTTCCATACAGTACATCAAATCAAGTTTTATTTATATAGCACATTTATAAACGATTTTTGGTCTAGCCAAAGTGCTGTACATAAAATAAAAATAGCCTACAGTAGAGACACTTTACAGCAAATACAACAGCACAGATTGTTCAGAATATCAGTATGAGAAAAACGACACCCTCTATCCTTAGACCCTCACATCATACAAGGAAAAACTTCCAGAGAAAACCCACAGTTTAAGGGGAAAGAATGGGAGAAACCTCAGGGAGAGCAACAGAGGAGGGATCCCTCTCCCAGGACGGACGGATGTGCAATAGATGCCGTGTGTACATCGAAGAGATAATACATTTTACAGCATATAGACCGAATGTTAGGAAATGCATGTGTCTGTAATAAGAAGATAAATCCACGAGGATGTCAGCTACAATCCTGTGGAAGCCATCAGGGAAGCAGCATGACGAGACCCAAGGCAGGACCGCAGAGACAGGTTCAGCCACGACCCGAAGTCCACGACTTAATCCAGAACTCGGGATAGAGGATCCAAGACACAGGACTACAGCAAGAGGATCAGCCTCGACTCCGGATCCCGGCGTAGATATAGATACAAAACAAGAAAAAATATTTGGGTTAATCGGAACAAGAGAATACACAGACACAGACAGACAGACGGAAAAGGTAATTGGATAAAAGTTATTCTTGATAACCCTCTAGAAAGATCTCATGAACTTCCCCACTCAATCTATCAAGACCCGAGCAGTTCTATTAGATATAGGATAAGAAACAGAGATAGGGAGCACAACAACCTATCTCTTCGTCAGATGCACCTCCCCGCTTATCTAAGCGACTCTGTACCCCGTTACCCTCTACAAGGCCACATCTGCTGCATGTAACCTGCCTGACTCCCATACACCATCTCTTTCTGAGGCCTCATCCATCTTTCCTGACATGACCATCAGCGATCCATGCTAAGCTGTATTTTGCCTCCGGCACTACTGATGTCAAGGATTTGATGTCTACAGCTGCGTGAAACAGCGTGAATTCAGGCGGTGCAATTATGGATCCAACAAAGACTCAAGGATAAAATTGCTTTGTCTGGAGCACCAAAGCAGAGAGTTTGATTTCAGTTTTTCACAGAGGTTTGAGATTAAGCCTTGTGATGGTTGTGTTTATTTAAAAGGTTTTAAAATTGTGAACTTTAGAGTAAAAAACAGGTGCTGAACAAATGTTGGTCCACCACCTTGGTCCAGACTTATATTTCACATCAACTTTTGGATTGATTTTCATGAAACCTTGTACACTCTTGAGTTCTTCATGGTGAGGTTTGTGGATTTCAAAATTCGGAAATAGGAGAGCACTGATATCAGATCTGTGATGTCTAATCGCAAAAACACTGTGTTGATGTATCTTAATTTATATCAGAATCAGATTAGCTTTATTTGTCCCACAGAGGAATATCACATGGAAGAATATGTTGAATTGTTGCATCGCTATTTTATGGCACTGTATATGAATACAAAATGTTCCCTTATGGTCAGTGGTGTAGTGGGTATTTTTTTACTGGGGGGACGCTATTTTAATTAGGTCATCCCAAACAATGCCACACAAGTGTGCATGCGCGCAGTGCACTCACAAAACGGGAAGACAGGTCCACAGAAACTACCGGTATTTTTTGTTAGTGTTCTTGAGGGAAAGAGCTGCCGCAAAATCGGCGGGCGCGGCGAGCTGGCTCGCCGTGGGTGTGTCAGTGACCGAGGGGTCACGAGCGTGATGATGAATCATACTTTTTTAAGGAAATCGTTTTTATTATTTATTATAATTACTGTGAAATGTATTATGTTTTCGTCATTAATACAACAAATACACACTTGCAACTGATAACACTGGCAATGATTTTATATTTATTAGACTTAAAAAAAAGATTATGCTCCAAATAAGTGGGGGTACGGCGTACCCCCGCGTCCAACGCCCACTACACCACTGCTTATGGTGAAGCTCTTAGACTTTGGACAGACAGACTAACATCAGCATCCGAACGCTGGGTCAATGAACACATAAAACCTGAAAATAAACCATACAATGATTGAAAAACTACATCAGAGTAGAGTGACAGTGTTTCATTAGTGACAACTCTACATCACTTTATCAACATTTTCACGTCAAACCAAAATCTTTGTTTTCTTTCACACCAAACCTTGGACCCGTAGCAGAAAACTGTTGCTCCTGTTCAGTTAAACCACTCGCTTCAATCT